AAATTGTGGCGAAAATGTCGAAGTATTGGTAATATTCGGAAAATTGGTAGAAAATTGGGGGAAATTAAGCCAAATTCTTGCCGAAAATAATAAATTCTTGGAAAATATTTTGTCAAGAATTCGCAAATATTGTAAACCGGGGTTAAAGATAAGGCATAGACAGAAAATGTGTAAAAAAGAGTTGTAGAAATGTCGAAATATTGCTCAAATTTGGAAAATTGGCCCAAAATCGTCCAAACAATTAGGTCAAACTCCTCCCAGAAATGGAAGACTCTTGCAAAAATAATGCAAAAAATTTGAAATTATTATAAACCGAGTCCTACGTTTCTTTGTCTCTTTGTTCTCCGCGCTTTGGACATCTTCCTCATCCAAGATTTCCGTCAGCGAGAAGACTTTCACTAAATTGACCGGAAGCGTGACGCACAACATGCCGAAGATCATCGTTAGTCCACTCCTTATCTGGAATAGTGATCAATTTTTTCCAAAAAAATTGAGCAAAATTAACCATATTTCTCACCAGCTCGACCCAAATTATGACCTTGACCGCGGTGTGGAACGATTTCACGCAACAACACGGACTAGCACAGCAGCCAGTGTCGTTGATAACCTCGTCCTGATAAGTCGGTTCTTTGGAAAAGTATTTACTGGGCGAAATCGGGCGCAGAACGGGTGGCGCGGAATTAGGGCGAATATTATATTTGCTCGATTTTTCGACTTGAACTCGAGTTTTTCGAGTGCTCCGATTTCCATACGTTTCTGAAAGGTCGGCAAGTTCTCGTTCCCCTTTGAAGCGATAGTTTGTCTCCGATTGGGAAGGGTCGGTAAGGGTGTAAACGCTATTTTGTGGGGGGTCGTCCTGAATCCGGACCGCGGTGAAGGATGGGGGATAGCTCTGATTAGTATTTGGATAACCCTGTTGCTGCTGCTGCTGGAGATAATTGTTGTTTGTTATCATAATAGCGTCGTTGCCTCATTTTGTGTGTTTGGGTGGGTGTGTCCTTGAATAAGGGGAAATTTTAAGGGATGCATCTACATGGGAAGGTTGGAATTTTGAATTTTGTATCGGAATTTTGGATGAATTTGGAATTTGGATTTGTTGATAAAGTTTGCGAACTTTCTGTGGAAACAGAGCAAGAGAGAGAAGAAAAGGTTTATTTTTTAGAAAATTAAAATTAATTAAAATTTTTAAAATTTTAAAATTACTGTTCATTAATTAAAATTATTTAAAATTATTTTAATTGCAAAATTAATTTTAAATTAATAATTAGTATAAGTAGTTAACAAATAAATTTAAATTAATAACCAATGTTATGAAATAAAACTGCAATATTTATAGTAAATAAACCGTGTAATTTTTGTAACACAATTTTACAACGTTTTTTTGCAAATTTATGACGAAATATTCCTTCGTATTTTTTCAAAATTTACAGAAACATATCTAACTTTACGAAGCTTACAAACATCCATTTCTTCTGAGATGGTCGAATGATACGTCCAACTCCGGTCTGGTGTCACTTTGCATAACGCATTTTGCATACAAAATTATCCCCTAACGCATTTAACCTAAATAGTCACTTTGCATACAAGGTCATTTTGCATACTGCTGCTTTGCATACCACGCGTTCATCTCCTCATCTTTTCTCTTTACACAGCTTCACCCGATAAAATATTTGATAATCAAGTGATTCAGTCAAATGTCTGGGTTCTTCCATTACACCTACGTTGGATTGAGTACGACGTCTGATAATTGTATGGAATAGTTACACAAGTTTTGAAAATTCCACTCCTTTGTACGAATAATTCTGTAGAGACTTGGCATTTTCGAATGAACACCATTTGTAATAGGTCTCATCTAAGTATGTGGAATTGTGTCGAAATTTTGAAGGCTGATCAAATACATTGAAAATTGGAGGTTCAAAAATTACAAGTTGGGTATCAGGTTGATGAATATTGTTGAAATTTATACTACAGTTAATAATATCAACTTGATATGCTGCAATATTTTCGAACAATTTCGTATTATCTATCTACACGATTTTAGTTCTCATTAATCAGAAAAAATGTCTTTTTTAAAATTTATGAGAAAATATATTATGGAAAGTGGTTGTTTATACCATGTGACTATTATGGGATAAAAATTCTGCAATATAACCGTTATGGAAAAGGGATTATGCAAAGTGACCGGAGACGCCAACTCCTAAATCGTCGTCCGCACAATCGTAGATACGAAAGTTGTCCCATTATTTTCACGATTTGATTAGAAAACTTTATCTCTGACTGAAATGAGATGTATGTACGAACGAAATATGCAAATATTTCCTGCCCCATTTGCCGAGAAAGTCGATACGATACGATACGCAGTGAAAGTCCACCAACTTTCTCTTCTTCTTCTTCTGGGGGAATAATGGAGCATCATGTTGCAGACTTATCACTCAATCATGGCGAGATTGATGAGGGCATGAAGTCAAGTCGAATGGAAATTGTGGGCATCATCTTCTCATCTTCCCAGCCTTCCTCCCAGATAAATAAATTAGGCGATATTTTACCCACCCCCCGGAAAAGTGGAGAATGATGAGAAACTGACTGAGAGTTTATTAATCCTGTCGTGAATAGCTGGGTGGCTGGATGCTCGGAAATAATAATGGGGGCGAAACAGCAGCGGAGGCAGGCAAATGGCGGTATTATTTTAGCGAAAAAGAGTGAAATATGACGCGTCAGTTTGGAGAGGAGGCAAACAATCCATTACTTTTGAGACTATGAGATACGGAGAGATAGATATATGAAGAAGACCAATTACCATTCTGCTCTGGTATTCTGGATTCACCTACGAAATGGTTTAAAAGGATGAAAAAAGCGGGGAGGGATTTTATTTTTTTAAGGGGGAAGGATTAGGATGAGTTAATTTCGATTTTTTTTGTAAGTTGTGAAATTTTTATGAAAAAAAGAATGGAAAAGCGACGTCATATTCTGCTCTGGAATCCTCGGGGGATCGGTTTTAGTAAGAGAAGTAAAAAGTAGGGGGAGATTTTATTTGGTGAAGATGAGGATGAATAAGTTTCAAAAATTTTTTTTGCGATTTTCGAAATTTTTATGAAAAAAAGCGAAACGCGACTTCACAAATTATGTTATTTTGTGGAAATGTGTAGTGGGAGAAACTTTTTGATGGGATGTATGATTATGATCGGGTATTGAATTGTATGTAGGAAATACGGATAGAGCGACCTAATTTTAATAAACAACTTACAAAATATTTGTGTTTTCTTCATAACGGCGTTGAACGTATGAAATTTAGAATTTTATTTATTTCAATTTTCATGCTAGAAAAAAAAAACTTTTCATGCTTTGTATCTACGTATTTATGCCTATGAATCCACTTATTTCATGTAATGCAACTTTTTTACGACGTGTTTCCTACCAAATTGTACAATTTACCTTGATCCTTGCAGACAGAGAGACGTTATCGTATTTTATACGTGCATTTCCACCATCCAAGTAGATTTAAGGGAAGCGAAAACTGTAGTCAGTAGTGGAGAAAGAAAGAAATACACATACATTTGGTCAGAATTGGTCTAGTTTGTAGATAAATTTGAATCTGGGATTGAAATCAGCGTCGAAATTATTACTCACTAATTGCTTAATTGCTCATATACTGCGCTCCCTGTTTATTACGTTAATAATACACTTATTAATTATCTTATGTTCGGGTGGGTAGAGTTGTTCTGGGCCACATGTCGAGGACATTTGTGAGCAAAAATTCTGTCATAATTTTATTTTTAATGGAAAAGAGGGGTTAATGAAAATCATAAATTTGTCCAATTTTGACGTCATAAGTTAATTTTGTAATTCTTTATATTATAGAAATGAAACTAGATAATACTTCTTCTTAGATGAATTAATTTAATCAAATAAATTAGTGTTTGAGTACAAATATTGTTCTATTAACTTGCAAATCAATATTTTTGACATTTTTTGACATTCATAATTTTTTTGTAATCTTCCCCTTAATTTGATACAATTTTGAACATGAAGCAGCTATAAAATCCATTTTGGAATGTTTCTGAAAATCATAAATTTATCCAGTTTGATCTTAAATTAATTTTATAATTCTTTACGTTGTAGAAATTGAGCTAAACAGGTACGCGTCTCTTTCCTCAAGTTTCAGTGCAAATATTCTGCTCATATAAATTTCCAGAATTATAGATATTTTTCAAATTTATAAATCTTTGGTAATTTTCCTCTCAATTTGAATGTTAAGCAGCTAAAATCTATTTTAAAATTTAACTTTTCAATGTTTCTCAAAATCATAAATTTATTCAATTTCAACGCCATAAGTTAATTTTATAATTCTTGTTACAGAAATTAAAATAAATAGATTCACCGTTGTGAGCCTGTAGTTTTAGTGTAAATATTCCCTTCATGTTAATTTCTAGGATCATAAATATGTTTCAGAATATAAATTTTTGGCAATTTTCCTCTCAATTTGACACAATTTTGAACGTTAAAGCCATTTAAAATTAAAATTTCCCATGTTTCGGTTACAATTTCCTATTTCTACTGTTCGCCCCCGACTAATTTAACCCACATTAATTTATTTATGGCATGCCCTATTTGCCCCATATTTAAATTAATAATCCCCCTAATAATATTATACATAATTAATCCCGATCCAATTTATGCCCCCCCCCCAAAAAAAAAAATTCCACCTTCACCCCCTGCCCATCGCACAACTCTCCCCGTCACACAATCCGGTAGCTCTTTCTTGCTAATGAGAAAATGATGATTTTGCCATCATTTCATGCCTCCGTCGCAAAGAAGAAGCCAGATAAGAACAAGGAACGGAACCGGAAAAAGCGCCTGGCTTTCGGATTATTATTATTATTACGAGAGAAAAACATATGTGTGTAATGGTAGAATAAGTATGTAGACGGATTTATGAGGTTGGAAGGAGAGCCCAATAAAACTAAAATGAGATGCAAAATTAGATATTTTTCCGAGAAATGTGAATTTTTATGGCGCATTTTATTATTTTATTTGTCATAATGTAAGTATAACTTTAAGGATAACATAACATAACATACTCTACACACTAGGAAATCCAATCCATTCCACGTTTTACGCTATTATAAACTAGGGACTAAAAAACTTCTCATTTCTGTCTGTATTATTACGACGGGAAGTTTTTATTATGAGAGAGAAGAGAAGAGAGCGTACTTTTATCCTATTTTTTAATAATACTAGAGACACACACACGTAATAAGAAGAATGAGATTGTAGTTTTTTGTAGTATTACATGAAATTCGATCATAAGATATGACGCATAATATTATAATTTAGCTACCAGCAGTAAACTTAATGTATCATTTAAATAAAAAATATTATATTTTTTTGAAAATTTTGTAAATAAAAAAACAACACGTATAAAATTTTTGTTCGTAAAATGAGGAAATGAGGCGATTTGGCAGCTTGATTATCTACGGCAGAGAAATTAAGGATAAATACTAGTACATATTTCTATTAATTAACTAATTAATTAATTAAATACTTACTTATTACAAAAAATATGGCTAATATTGCAACCATTTTACTAACATGTTTGGCACACTCCGAAGTAAAAATTGTACATACACAATTATTATAATCGACAATATAAGTACTTATCTATGTAATGATGACCAGCTTGTCCTGGGGGCGAGGCGAGATTATTATGCAAATACACACCACTTTCTTCCTCACATCAGAGAGAGCAAAATACAGAAGAGATCACTTTTACCATGTAACAAATCCTTTTTTACGAACTACGCCTTCGTGGTCTCCTTGTACGGTTGGAATAACGTTGGTGTCGTCGTGGTTGACGCTGACGCCGTCGTCGCCCCGGCGGAACCGATGGGTGGCGAAATGGGCGACGGACTCTTCGTCGCCCCCCCACTGCTGCCCCCACTACTGCTGTTAAGACTGTGATTATGGTGGTGGTGGTGATGGTGGTGATGAGGACCGGGTGAAAATCGGGGACTTTCTAACCCACCATCGACCGAAATGTGACTGTGACAGTTCCTTTCGCCCCCGTGATTCGAGGATGACGAGGAGGACGACGTCGTCGGGGAGGTGGACGACATCGGGACCGGAATTGTGGACGGGGTTGTCGTCGTGGTGGTTAAATCGTCCATGGATCCGTTTCGGAGGAGGTCAGATCGCCCCGGGTAGAAATTCGGGGTTCTCATCTGCCCCGGGTAGGGACCTTGTTGGGGGGGATACCCGCCTCGGAGTGGGGTACCGCCAGTAACTTGACCTTGACCTCCGGGTTGACCTCCACTTCCCGGGAAAGGATTTCGACCCCCCATCGCGGCATGATGCGGGTAATACGCGGCGGCTTGATACATTGCCGCCGAAGCGGCCGCGGCGGGTCCGTATGGGCCGTAATTCGCGGCTGACGCGGAGGCAGCCGCGGCATGGAGAATGTACGCTGCCAGCGCGGGATCCGCGTAGGGCCAGGCCAACGCCATCCTTTGACGTTTATCCTTCATGCGACGATTTTGAAACCAAACCTGGAAAAATTAATTTAAAAAGTGAATTTTTTTTAGAATGAAAAAAAATCTAATCAACACTTTCTTCTTTTTTTCGGGGAGAATGGCAAGCAAAAAGCGGGGCCGACACCGAGGAAAAGTTGAGATTAATATTTAATCAAGAAATCATTTCCTCACTTTTGACCCCTTTTTCTCTCCGAGGACACATCATCAACCGACATGATCTCATCTTTCGGACGGACCGGGTTGGATTAGAAAAAAACGAGGCGAGGAAACCTTCTACGAGTGAGATTATGAGGGGGAAAAAGGCGAAGAACGTGAAGTCTCACGAGGTTCTCGATTCTCGAGCTGGAAAAGTTGCTAATTAAATTTTAACGTGTTTTTTCGCCCCTTGAATTCCACCGAGATTTTAGCAGCTCAATTATCGAGCGATGATACTCTCAAAGTTGGAAAAGGGTGTGTAGTACCAGTGCGTAGTATAAAATAATCAAGCTTTTCGAGCCTCCTTGCTTTTTCTTGTTACATAAATGTGAACACATTTAACAAGAAAGTTCTGATCCACCACTTACAGAAAATTTGGAGAAGTAAGTGAGAAGATTATTCCATCTTAAAGATGGGATTTTGTGTTATTTTATTTTATTCCATTCCCTTTTACGACCACCTTTTAACACCATTAGGAACACTTTATGATTGATATTATGACCTCTTCCATGTCATGATTTCATTCCGCCACGCCACGCCACGCTATTTACTCCATTAGCCAAGAAGTAAGTAAGTAATTGACATTTCATCCCGAAATCGACAGAGTTGAAAAGGCAATAAATTATGAAATTATGGAAGAAGAGTGGATGGAGTTAGTTAAAACCTTGAAAATAAGAAATAATCTCGTTATAGATTTGGATTTGGATATCATGATTTTAAGCGAATTTGGAACTTTCTAATCTAATCTGACTCCAAATTTTGGGTGGATGGATGGATTTGGATGAATCTGCTTAAAGTTTTCCACTGAAATGTTTGAAGCCGTATTAATAATAATGACCTTGTTCTTAGCCAGGCAATGATCTCCCATTATGACGAGGCAATTAGTAGCCTTGTGTTAAAATGTGGATGGAAAGGAGAAGAAGGTGCACATGTTTTAATCTCGGACTTTACTTTACTTTACACGATATGAAAACTAAAGTACAACATTTTCTTCATCTCGTCTCATTTTATGAATATTGCATTCAGAAGGAAACGAAGTACATGATCACATCACACAGCGTGCTAAAAGTTTTGATGATTTTCTCAGAGAGAGAAGATTTTACTGGGAGGGAGATCATGGGTACAAAGTTTGGGCGTCGGTCGGGTCATGATTAGTGAGTAATCATGTCGTAAATGAAAACCGTTATGATGAGATGAGATGAAATGAAGGAAGAATTTGCAAGGAGGGGAAATATTTGCAAAAATTTTGCAAAAAAATTAATTATGTGCCTTGATAGTAAGAAAGAAGGAATTTGCGAGGGGGGAAATATTCGCAAAAATTTGCATAATTCTACATACCTTGATAGTGGACTCTGGCAGGTTAAGTTGCGCCGCTAACTCGCATCTTCTCGGTCTCGAGACGTAGTTTTCTTTAAAGAATTCTTTCTCCAGTCGGTTCAACTGTTCTCGGGTGAAGGCGGTCCGATAGCGGCGAATCCCGTCCGCATCGCGAGATCCCGACTTGTCCAAACAATCTGAAATAGAAGTCATGATTTAGAAATAAAGTTGTTACTTTACTTTCTGGAAAATCTATCCAATTAAACGAGACTCAGATTAGTATTGGACTACGTTGCAGCAATTAAGCATCACGCTAACTAAATAACCCAACCGCAAAACCAACACGGCCACTAATACGGCTGGAAATCCCGAAATAATGAAAATATACACACACACATCGGTCTCTTCCCGGTAATCAAAGTCGCCACGGGAGATGGGAACTTATGGTCACCCACACGGCCACAGCCACACGATTCATGAAAACAAAGTCGTGTTACTAACTTTGGAGTCAGCTTTTGGTCGGATTATTTGTTATTATGCGGCCTAAAAGCGGCATAAAAGTGAGTAATCTCATGACATGACAGAGGTGAAACCAGCCTTAATTTAAGTAATATGTGTCTCTCCATCTCTCCACAATTTGATGATTTTCATGTCGAAATAGTCTTCCCATTCATTCCGGAATGAATGAAGAGCAATAAATAAACAGATTTTAGCTTGGTTTAAACTTTATATTTCGAAACAAAGGGAAAAGAAGGCATTAATTTAACGCTGGTTGGTCAATTTTAGCGTGGGTGGTCATAAATAAATACGATAAATACGTTTGTTATTTGTGACTTGAGAGAAGAGAGGTGACCACTTTACTTGGGGAATAAAGGAGTCTTTTGACTCTACAAAAACTGACCAAAAGGGAACAAAAGATGAAAAGATTTTTGGATAGGTTTGACTTTAAAAGGATGTTGGAGTTGGACTTTTGGTTGGGAGCTACGTATCAATGGCATCGCATTGTCTTGATGCAGAGATAGACAAAACAAGGGCGAGAGGACCCTTAGCTTTTGGCTTGAGTGCAATTTCTCTAGACAAGATGAGACAAAATACATACTTTGTTTGGGCATGTGCCCCGACGTGACGACGACGACGAGGATGACGACGACATGACAAAAATCATACAAGCTTTGGCACTTATCGGGGTCAATTTCTGGAGAAGAAAGTGATGTCTGTATGAAAATAGTGGAGGAGCGAAAAGGTCACCGGGTACGAGAGGTGGAATTTATTATCGCAATTATTATGACAGGTGTGTAGCACTGATTATGCAAATTATTATGACACGCTAATTGAAACGTGGAGGAGTGGATTCGTAAGTAAATACTTAGATATTTTTCATGGAAAAAGCTAACTAAAATGTGGAGTAGATTCATAAATAAATTCATATGAAAAAAACGGCCAACATTTTTCATGGAAAAGCTGATCAAAATATGGATTTTCATTTCAAAAAATCATGAAAAAAACGATCAAAATTTTTCATGGAAAAACTAATGGAAATTTGAATAAATTCATGAAAAAAAAAACGATCAACTCACCTTTCCCACTGTCCGGAGATCCCTTCTCATCCCTTAAACTGCTGCCCTTTGAAGCCTTGTACGAATCTGGCGAGTGCATCGGCGGGGTAGCCGGAGGACTTTGGTCGGGTCCGATGGGTGGGGAAATTGGCGAGTTTTTCATCCCCACCAGTGACCCTCCACCAAAGGGGGCGAGGTGAGAGGTCAATTGGTGTTGCGGATGGTGGGCGAAATGGTGGTGTTGTTGGAGGTGATGAGAATGCAGGTTGGCCAAATGGTGGGGGTGGTGGACCCCATTTAACATGGGATTATTGTGATGATTGATGAATGGCGTGGCGTTATTTGCGCCGTTATTTGTCGTCGCGGGGCGAAGAATGTCTTGAATCCGTAACAAACCGGAGGCGCACATTGTATTAATTTCCGCCGCGGTGGGACCACCCGCTTCAACCTGGTCGCGAATTTGTTGGGGCTGCATATTTATTTGCTAAATTATTAAGGATGTCACTTTTCACTTTTCAAGTTAATCTTAATTCACAGTTTTTGACAACACGGAAATTTGTGTGTAATACTGATGATAACGATGATTATTTCTGTCAGTTATGGGTAAAGTTGAGACTTATCGATTCCTGATAATCCCTACTGATAAGTTTCACTTAGACTGGGTAAACTTGAGACGATCCAGTTATTCAGAGAGAGCCTTGCCTTTAGACCCTTAACTTTGGACGAGCACTTGCACAATGACCCAACCTAAGGTGGCGTCCTTCCGTGAAGTACTTTTAGTTACCACCACCAACTATATAAGTAAGTGACTTATCTATCATCGCCTCTTACCACTTGGGTTGGTTGCCTAACTGGAAATGAAATGAAATGAGCTGTGAACAAACAGGATTTAACAAAGCAAAGCGTGTGTCGAGTTAAGAATCCAATCCAATCCAATCCACTAAGGAGGAGAGACCCTCTACATGTCATCTTCAGATCTTGATGCCCTTTGGATATGTTGGAGTACCCTATGAGTCTACTAAAACCCTGAAGTAGTTTGATGCCATGGCCCCATTTGCGCCCGCCACACCCACTCAAAGGTGTAAAAAACACGAAAAAAGCCCTGTTTTCGTGTACTTCAACTGTCACCAAAAATTCAATTTTGTTCGGATTTTCATAAAATTTACATTTTTGTCATCCCAGATACTTGTGTGATCATATCCAGTAGCAATCTCAACTTTTTTGAAATTTTGAAAATTTTCGAATAATTCATGAGCAGTGGAATGTCCAAAACTTTTGAAAATTTCAAAAAAGTTGAGATTGCTATTGGATATGATCACACAAGTATCTGGGATCACAAAAGTGTAAATTTTATGAAAGTCCGAACAAAATTGAATTTTTGGTGGATTTTTTGAAGTTCGTAATTTTTGTGTTTTTCATCCCTTTGAGTGGGTGTGGCGGGCGCAAATTGGGCCATGGCATCAAACCACTTGAGGGTTTTAGTAGACTCATAGGGTACTCCAACATATCCAAAGGGCATCAAGATCTGAAGATGACATGTAGAGGGCCTCTCCTCCTAAGTGGTGGAGATGATACGGTGAATGTATGTACATTTGCCACCCGGGTTAGGTTTTCAGGCAGGCAGCAGCAGCATTGTTACCAGGAGGAGGTGACTTGTCGACCAAGGGGCGTTTTTCCCATAGCCTTAGCAGACCAATCATCACTCGTACTGTGCGAGTCATTCACGATTTCGATGAGCGGACAAATCATGCCCCAAATTATGGGATGCACGCATGGGATGTGTTCTCCATTTTTCTATCCTAACCCGGGAGGAATCCTGTTACCCGGGTAGCTAGCAATTTATATGTATTATATCCAGTCGGATTTAATCTCGGGTTAGTTTTCTTCTTTTTTATTTGGTCGGGTTGTCGTCGCGTCGGTGCTGGATAGAAAATCCGGGTGTTTTCGGAGAGGAAGGAAGGAAGGGAGAGTTTTGAGGAGATGGGATGGGATGGGATGCGTAAATGGAAATTATTATCTAAATCTTGTCCTCTTAATAATATTACTTATCCGTTTTGTTCTTGTCGCTGGGGTTTTATGTGGGAGAAGATTTTTTAATAGAGTTTTCTACTGGGTTGGGAGGAATGGAGAGAGATACAAGTCGTGATAATTTGGTAGGGAATATTGTGTAAGCATTTAAGGACTGTGCGGAAAGGATGTGGGGGGAGATTTTGACCTTTGACCCTGGAAAAATATGTAAAGAAAGTTTGGTTGGTAATGTCAATTACAAGATCATCTCCTCTTAAATGTGTACACTTTAGGCATTTTCGTGATAAAGTGGTGGAATATTGTGTAAGCGTTTTATTTAAGAGAGAGATGGGACCATGCGGAAGGGATGTGGGGACAGGTTTTGACCTTTGACCCTTTAGGATAAGATGTAAACAAAATCTGGTTGGTCATTTCAGTTCACATTTACAAGATCCAAGATCATCTCTTCTTAAATGTCTACACTTTACACGAGACTTCATATCTTAAATGGATTTGGCGACAATAATATTAGTAAAGACGGCAAGTTTTTGTCTCATTTTCATTTCATCACTACTTCTCCCTTCCAGAAACCTTTAGTTTCTTTCCCTGTGAAGAAAAACATCTTGCTTGACTTGACTCGACTGGAAATGGAATAGAAAGAAAACTGGTTTGGTTTTTGGAGTGGTGCAGGCAAAAGGAAGAAATGTCGAAATGTTCTTCTGTTCAGAGAGAAGAACAATGGAATAAAGTTAAAAAAGGACACGTATTGTTCTCTTTTTCCTGGAAAATAGTTTGTTAAAGTAATAATAATAATAATTGGGGAAAATGTCTAGGTGTACATACCGATTAAAAATACCACCTGGACAGAGCTACACAAAAGTCTGTAAGTCTAAAAGGACAAGAAAAAATTCAGGATAATTTTACTCACTTATTAAGTGAAGGGACCCGAATTTTCTTAATTTTCTATTTAACAAATGAGGCTTAACTGGAGTAATAATTTGGTTAAAATATAATGATCCATCCATCAAGTATTTACCTTACTTAATCCCACCTAGAGCTTATCCTTAATTTCTGTCAAAATTCTAGTTAAAAAGCAAAACACTAAAAAAAGTTGGGGACCAAAATAGGCATGTGTATTATGTATTTGTAAGACTGGCAGCCTCTTAAACTTATCATAATAGCCGTTGATAAGTGAGTAGGAGAAAAAAGTAATGGGGAAAAGAATGAGATGAGAATTGGAGGACAAATATCAGTCCTACGATCTGAAATTATTACGGAATAAATAAACTGTGGCAATAAAATAAATAACGTTTCCATCCAATTTTCTGCTCCAGTCGTGATTACGAGATAAGACAAAAGTGCAATTTGGCAAATAAGTGACTACGTTACGTAATAAGAACATGATAAGAACATTATTATGACATTTTTGCGTTGGAGTTTTGTAATCTCTCGATCTGCCCCATTATCTCGTCAGCAGCGTCTCATGTACTCGAGGAATTTTAGCAGTTATGGAACGAAACAGAGATGATATTACGTGAATTTTGTGTAAAAATGAATTTGTTCTGTTTTTTAGCCCGAATCAGGGCTTATGTAACCATCATGTCCGTCCGTCCGTCTTACGATAAGCTCATATTATAGACTTGAAATTTGGTAAATAGTTTATGAGAAATTTGAACATGTGCAAAATCGGTCAAGTGGGTTGAAGGTCGGGTCGGGTCGTTGGAGCAGAATTTCGGAATGCTGATATTTTGAAGAGATGAAATTACGCGAGTTAATGGATTTCATGTAAAAAATAAATTTTTCTCATTTTTTGGGATTACGTTAATCATTTTTCTCAAAGTGAACTCGGATCTAAAATGTTTTAAATCTATTCAAACTTTCATTATTTTATTTTACGGCGTCATAATTGAGGCAAAACTATTAATAATTCTTGTGATGGATAACAATGTCTCATCCGAATTGCAGGAGGATGATTGTGATACGTTTCGTTATCATCGAATCCTACAGAAAAATGATAAGTCTCCGTTTTCCCTTCGTTATGATGTCCCTTCATAATATGCAACTTCGTCACTCCGTATTAAACTTCTTTACGTGGTGACATTCTAATCCAAAAAATATAGCCAAATACTAAATATCTTCCCCACCCACGGGTGACATCATACACATCATGATCCCATAATTTGCCATGTAACCAACCCTGAAAGAAATCAGTGCAGGAAAATGCATCCAAACGCACTTTAGTTTAGTTATAACCATAAAATCAACGTATGTATAGCAATAAATGAACTAGAATGCAGATAGATAGGCGACATATATACAATAAAATAGACTCTGTAAGGGTCTGCTGCCCTCCAGGGACTTGAAAGTCTCAATTCTCTTCTCTTCTCTATGTCCACCAACTCAATGGGACGCACAAAGTGCAATATAGCAATAAAGGCTTTAAGGGCCCGTACCACCCCACCTTCCTTCGTCCTCTCTCTCTCTCAAAGGAGATGAATTGCATCCATAAATTGATCCCGACACGACAATACCGTGACTAACTGAGAAGAGAAGGGGAGCACATTTTACAAAGATTACTTATTTGATACGATGAGCCTTTAATAAATACTTTGCACTTTTTGCTACAAATACGAACCCCACACAAGACAGCCCAACACTTGGTCGACCTGCCCACAAACACCGATCCATCCATTACCTGTCATTACACAATTTAAGCGAGAAGGTAAATCTCTCTTAAGGCTGGAAAACAACAATGAAAGCTTGACCAGAAAGTGTCACAACAATTGTAACGACAAACAGTTAGTTGGAGAGCTTTGTTGGTGTGTGGGTTACTTACTTACTTGCAGGCAACGGGTTGGTTGTTAAGTAGTAAGACGACGAACGAGATCAGGTAGGTAAATATTTAGGAAGGTGAAAAAGAGAGAGATTTCTCTATTACATGACAATCCTTACAACCACCGTGGATGAGCAACCGTGACAAAAATGAGATGATGGGCTGGTCAGTTTTGGTTTTCTGTAAGTCAAAAGATTACAGGGAAGATTAGGATTTGGTGAAATTGTGAGTAATGATCAAGTAAATAGTTATGTGTTTTTGGGGACCGTGCGGATGGATGTTGATGACATTTCTGCTGTGATGATCCAACTTAAACTTGGCAATTAAATAGACTTAAAATTACAAAATTCAAACATGTCACTAAACAAAATCCGTCTTTAATTTATTCACGGAAAACAATTCTCAATTAATGAAACAAAATTCAACGAATATTAATTAATATAATATAATAGGTCAACCAAAAGCAAGTTGAAAAAACAGGATAAAATTGTTAATAAAAAACATTTAGAAATATCTCGATATGAAAACTAAGAAGTGGTAAACAAAGCGAGAGCATTTAAAACATATTTGAAATACATTGAACAACCAAAATAGACAGAAAACAGAGTATTTGTTGATATTTATAGTTAGTTAAGATGTTTTTAAATATTTAAGGGTTAATTTAATCATAAAAAGGTAGAATTGAGGATCTTCTTATTTGGAACGCTTCTTTTGTTTTTTATTACCAAGAGTAGCCTGAGTAGCTCGGCTAGCACCTGAGAAGGTATTTAGAAAAAACGTTACTAATTAATATGATTCTGAATAATTTAATTTAGTTAATTGTTTATCACCTTTCGAACTGTCACGACTCTTAGCAGGCGACGGGGAAGAAGCTTTCCCGGCCGGTTTTGGTTCAATCTCAACGCCCTCATCCATATCCAAAGTTTCTGAAAATTTTAAATCGATTAAGAGTACACAGTACAATCTTTATCGCCATTATATATTACTCAACGCACCATCTAAATCTTCATCCATCGGGACTTCACGAGCAGGGGTCGTAGCAGTTCGAACATTTCCATCAACGAGTTCTTGATCTTCATCATCGGAAATTGTGATGGTTTCAATGGGCGCAGTTGAAAATCGGGCCGAGAAGAAGTTGGAAAGCCGGCGGTTGAAATAGTATTGGATGACGTAGGCCATGATTGATGTTCCGACGGTGAGCAGGATGGCGGGGATGGAGGCCATCAGCTTGTCACACATGACGTCGGGAGTGTTCTCGTAGTAGCAGAACTATTGATTAAAGAAATTAAAGGACAATCTGGGGACGTTAAAGAGTATAGTGATTTCATTAACCTCTTGTCGATAGTCGAACAACATCTTTCCAAAGTCCGTCTTGGTGCAGGAACGGTCATGAAGAGTTTTGCAGACGTAATTGATCCAAACCCAGTTCCACAAGGTGACCGCGCCGTAGATAACGATGGGATTTGTAACAATCTGTAGTTTATCAGGGCAGACATTTAGACGTGGCTTGAAGATTAATAATTAATTAAAGATGTTTTCAACAACTGATTGTTACTACCTTTGGATAAGTCCGTTTCCTCATGGCGTGCCAGAACTTCAACCAACCCGGATTTTCCCCCGCCCTGTTCCTTCCTCGCATCGAAAAAGCATCCAGAAGTAGGTCCACCGTTTTCGCCACCTCGCCAGCCCAGCGGAGACAATTGTTGGCATGCAAGAAAAGTAGGATGACGACAAACTTGGAGACAATGTGGCCTTCCCCCTTCATCGCCCATTGCCGCCCGATCCACACGCTCTTTCGGTAGAGCAGAGTCGCCACGGCCATTCCGAATACGACCAGTTGCACCACCCATCCAGCCACATTGTAAATCTGATCATTCTTGAAGGGACATCCACATTGATCAATTTTCGACTTTCCTCCAGCGACATCACCACAATTTTTCTCCTGAGGACCAGTCGAAGAATCGCATCCGGCACGCTTTTCTTCTTCCTCTTGGCTGTATTCATCTCCTCTGGCGCCACGGTCATCGCCCAGCTCTACGGCTGGTGTCCCCGCCTTGTTGGTTTTTGACCGAGACCGGCCACCACTTGTTTGACTCGCCGACTCCATTTTCCTACGAGAGAAAAGAAAAGTATACTTTTAAATTTCAATTTGATCTTTCTAAATTATTGAAAACTATTTAAAACCAGCTGGACTTACGAAACGTCTCCAAAACGTCGACCCAACGTGACACAATTCAATTAATTAAGTGGACAAATTAATTGAAATTTAAATTAGTTAACAAAAAGACTAAAGAACAACCAATCAACCACCTCACTCGACCAACTTCCAGACTCGACTGAGGTAAAAAACGAGAGAAAATGAGGCGGTAGAAAAACGAGGACAATGAACTTAGGATTAGCGGGTAGCGTCAGTCAGCGTGGTGGGGTATAGACCGTGCACAAAGGATTGGCCAATTTTTGCAGAATTTTGACCTCGTCCCTTTAAGATAATCCACCTGTCCCTGATTAAGATAAGATATTTATGCTTATCTAAAATTAATGAAGTCCTTTATGCACGGTCCCCAAGAAGAAGAAAAAATTGGGAAAAGATGAGACGATTTTCTTCGCTAAGGCTAAAACTGTCTCAAATTGAGGTGTTTGCTCTGAATTTTTTGAAAAACGACAAAAAAAGAGGAATTTATTTTTATTTTAACTAAATGGCTTTTATTTTTTGATGCGACCGACTTAATTTAACAGCCTATTTAATTATTATTCAAATAATTAATTGACTTCGCCTTCTTCTGCTGTTCTAACGTTGTAACCCTTTCCCAAAGACGGGACACAAATTGCGAGGCCACGATGGACTTTATTGTTTGCACAAGGGCTGGAAACTTGTAGAAAATGTTGGAACATATCGTGTTATCATCATCTTGACAGACCTATATCCGTACGTATTATAATTTAAGGTTTTAAGATAAGGTCATATCATGCCACCATCTGCTCACCTTAACTCTCAACCGAGCTATCCGTCTTAGCAGGGTGGGTGTGCTTTGCGGGGGACAATATCCGTTCAAAATGCAGTCAGAATTCGACACTGTTTGGGCCCAGGAGTGGATTAAACAAGCGCCGAGACAAAGGCCAAACATGAACTAAAAAGTAAGTATCAAGTCAATTTGATAAGTAAAACATGACACATTTGAGAAAGAACTTATCCGACCTGGATCAATTTTTCCAGCCTAATCCGATATCTCACTTCCTGCATAAGTTTCTCATTAAAATATCGAAACGAGAAGAATCCAAGCTGGTACAGAAATGTTCCCAGAGTAGAAACATATCCAGACATGTGGATGATAAGCAAGGCGAAGAAGATAACATCAAATTGAGGAGAGAAAATTGCATCCCGATTTTGAAAAGAGTGGAAAATTGAGCCGAAAATTACACCAATTCCGACCACATTTTCGGCCCCAGCTACACGAAAAGTTATCCTTATTGACATCTTGTTTACATATTTATCTCTCGTGTCATCAAATATCATTTCATTTTACGTGTGAGAGAAAATCGAAAATGCGGTCAAAACGGGATGTGGTGTAATAATTGTTCCCCTGAGAACTTATTGTGAATTGTGATTGCAGAATTGTGATCTTAATTGCTTGCTTGACATCCTCCATTACACATGTTTCTCGACATAAATATTCAACTTTTACACAAAATCACCGTTATTTATTCACCTAAATAACTCGTCAAGTCGTGTTATACGAGATGTTAACAACTTTATGCATTGTGTAAATGTGCGTTTATGTACATACAAACATGCATTCTTTCCCAAATTAAAAGCCCACTAATAAATATCTATAACCAGTTTTCGTCATGTTTAGGAAAACCATTACCCCAAAATTAAGTGGACAATAATAAAATAAAACTCGTAATTACAATGGCATTAGTTGGTGGAGGGTTTCTATTTTGAGATTTTTAAAATTTCGACCATTATTACTGTGAAGAATAATAATCCATATCCACCAAAATGCGAGATTACACAGTGACCTGACCCGCACTTTACCCAAAAATATTGACCGTTTCTTCCTCCCAATTTGGTATTGGTGTGGTAAAAGTTGACCGCTTTTTAGCCTTCAAAAGTCAAAACTTGTGCAAGGGATTGACACATCGAAGGGATATTATATTGGATCTCGGGTTCTTACAACCGTGTTGTGACCATTCTGAAGAAAAGGCTCAATTATCGATTTTAACTTATTATTTACTGCCCTCATTTAGCGATTTTTCCGTCGACTGTGATCCTTAAGGGTGAAAAATGCTTGTTATTTCCTTCCTTCAAGAGTTTAATTTCATTATATTATGGGTTCGACAAAGGAGCCGAAACTTATTTATTTTATTTCTGAGTGTGACCTTTCCTCGGACGATGAGCAGTTTCTGATTTTTATTGTCATATTCCTTAGTTTGATTGTAAAGTAATTTACTAAACACAAGAGCGGATTTGAGAGGGGAAATAAAATAAGCGTTTTATTGAATAATGAGACGATAAGTAACACGTCTTTAAAGTAAGTAAAGTAGGATTAATAAATATTTGAGATTTTTGAAGTTTACATTTCCGAATTAGGGGAAAAATTGTGCTGTTTCTTTCTAACTAAATAAGTTGCAACTTGCAACAAAATCTTGCCCAGTTTTCTTATGCATTGGCCATGACATATTTTCGGAAATTTTCGACATTTCTTCAACAGAAAATGTCAATCACAAAAATTTTCAGAAGAATCGATTAATCATAATCATTCCATGTCAATCTCATCGCATTTCCAGTAAATAAATACCTTGTCTCTTAAATGATACATATTTACGTATTCATGGCTCTCTCATTGTCCGCAAAGTTGTAGGAATAAGTAGACGAACGAAATATTGATGGATGACTTTTCATGTAGTCACTCAACTCACCTGCAAATCAATCTACGCACTTCTCTAATCTTTGGCAAATCTGGTCTCGAGGGCTTCGTCATTTCATTCATTTGCGGTACATATTTCGGGTTTTGTTGAAACTCCTTTCTAGGAAAGAGTCCTATCGGAAGGACGGAAAATATGGCATGATCGATCGATTTGCTTCGATACATATTTTGTGAAATCGGCGACTTAAAAAAATTCAAACAATGGAAACAAATGGGCTTAAATTAGATAGGCAGAAAGAGGAATGTTAAATAAAGGGTTGACTTTTAAGGGGTGATATGTATGTATTCATGACAAAGTGACCGGTGTTGTGTGTATGGACTTGGACGTGTCACAGAAGGGTACGTATTATTGCTACTAAGGGATCCTCGACAAAATCTGCAGGGTGGGTCTGACTTTTGGTGGCTCTGTATGAGAAGAAAAGATACACATATTGTGACGGACGGAGCCTTATGGACAGACCTTAGATCCATGGGACAGACAGACATGCATCATCAATCTTGATGGAAGTTCTGCAATAAGTAAGTAATGCCAGCAGCCGGCATTACATATGCATCCTTTTTTAAAGGAATATTGGATGAACAATAAATAATATGCAACGTGTGACAGTAATTTTCGCACCAAAGTGTATTGATTTCCTGCATTTTGTGAAATTCGCAAATGCAGAATGAGAGGAGAGGATCTTAATTTATTCTGCTATTAAAGCCCAGAAAAAAATTTATATTCGGAACGTAAACTATGCGTCTTAAATCATTTTACAAATATGAGATAATCATGGCCTTATGTAAAACCATGCGATTTTCGTTGAAAATTTTCACCCAAAATGAATACAAATATGAGATCCACCCTTATAGCGGATGGAATTTTCGACAAGTACATACTTCCCCATCGATGTACAAACTACATACGCACTTCTCCTATCTAGTTTTGTGAAATTTCGACCAAAGGTCGAAATTTCCAAATTCTGGTCAAAAGTCAACTTCCACACAAAGGAAGGAGCTCCTCCCCTAATACTAATAATAATAATGCCATAATGGGGAGAAATCCACTCCACGAGAGGAGCGAACATAGGTGTGGCGCAGTGTCGTGGGTGGAAAGCTGTCAGCTAACATGTCAAATATTGAATGATTAATGATATCCTACTAAACATACGACAGCGTTAAGTCCCTCACAAAAAAAATGCCGCAGAAATTCCAGTGCCAAAATTTTATAAAATGAAATACAGTTTTCAGAAATTTTGAAAAGTGAAAATTGTCAAGGTTTTGACTGACCAGCCACATTATTGTGCGATGAACGATTTATTATACGTAGCGGCTTCATAAATAAATCTAAATCCGCATTATGAAATTCCACCCGATTTACGTACTTATCAGTGCACAAGGGACCTCACATTATGCCAAAGTAACTCGCATTTTAACAAAATATGGAACTATTTTTAGTCCCCAAAAGTTAATGAACCCTTTAAGTTTAACCCCACATTCAGTAATTTATGGAGATAAAAAGGGGACCGCAATAAAATTGAGAAATTCCTGAATTTCTCGGCTTTTTGAGAGAGACAAAAAACAGATTTCTTTTTTACGATGTGTCCATTAGTGTTAGTATTTTCATTTATTTATGACGACGTACTTATATATTTTTCAAAATAGTCACTCACTCATAATGCGAAGTAAGTATTGGTAAGTACTCATAAGTTAAAAACCAAAAATTTTAGCTTATTTACAACCCTAAATAATAAAAATATGTAAATATCAGTAATGTCCTGTTTTTGTTTATGCATCGACCAGACGAGAGACAAGGTCAGGTCACTCACCACCCAGTCAGTCCAAAGCCAAAGAGTAAAAGAATTTACATACACATGTGACAAGATTGGAAACCATAATGAGATTGAGTCCTCGGATCTGAGACGCATAAATTTGTAAAAAAGTCAATCTAATCCACGAAACCAAACCACATCTCGCCTGCCAGGAAATGGATCGGATCTGAATAAATAGTTAATTTCTCATTGTTTTTTTTCTGTACCGACCGATGTCAACTGCTTTCATGCATAATCTACTCTTCTTCTGCGGGTGGATGCATGCATACATAAATTGGCAAATTGGCAATGGGCCAGACGACCACGACAGTAAGATAATAATGTCACTCACAGTATGTACTTACTTCCCCGAGACAAATTATGCATGCTGATAGGTAGTGGTGGTGGTTTGGTACATAATTTCGTGGTTTTTCGTACCTTCCATACTTATCTTACTACTTGGTCGGACAAGATTTGAGATCGTAATTCGTATAAAACTTTAATTTCGTGGTGGACACGTAATGAGACTCATTTTATAGCGGAAAATGACCTTCGACCAGACCACATGCAGGCTGGAAAAATGAGACGGACCGACCGAGGACACACCAAAGCATGAAGGGACAGCTAGATATGTATGTAAGTACACTCAAAGGGATACATATTACATACGTACACGAACAAGGGGTACTTTTCCCTCTAGTAGTAAACAAATAAATAAATAAGGGTCCTCTTCTTTCTCTCCCCGAAACGACGACAAGTTCATTTGAATCAAGTTATTTGTCTCTCTTCTCTATCTCTCCGAAAATTGGGGGATCCAATCCACACCGTGACAAAATGAGAGAACAATTTATCCAAATTATATAAACGGAGATAAATTACTCCGTATTATAGAGAAAGAGAGAGACCATTATTATTCCTTCCTTCGGACTGGATCAGATTTAGAAAACGAGATCAAGATCGATTACATGCCAGGCCACCCTCCGCCTCCCTCCCACCAAATAAACCAACAACTGATTTACATTCTAATAGCTTTTTCCTCCAGCTTCAGAGCTTCATCCAACTCGGTGACAAAATGCGGCCCATCTTTCATTCACCCCGAAAAGAGATTCACTCTCCGACGACGAGTAGAGATTGAATAAAAGTCCTTTCCCCTACAAACAATGGAATAATGACATGTTTTCTCGTCACTAAACCCAAGTGGGAATAAGTATAATCGTTACATTTTCGAGAAAAAAGGGGTAACGAACCAACAAAACAAGGAACGGATTGGATTTTAATATCAAATATGAATGAGGACAAGGGGACTTACTTGCTAATCTAGTGTGTGTACATAGTTGACCCTGTAAATTCGAGGGCAAGTGTGTCCACTTGAGAGATTATGTAACCCTTTGCTCTCTAATAATATTAGCGTCTCGAGGGTGCAGTAAGTAGCAGTATCAATTTTATAAATAATCTAGTCCATAACAGAGTGAGTTAATTATTGGATGGGTAAAAATATAATGTACCCAGTATTTTTTTATTGTTATAATAATGTAGTAACAAGTAACGATGCGATCAACTGTTTTTTTAACGGTATTGAAAGGATTACAATTATTAACGTCGATCCGTTTTTCCAACGCCACGCTTGCCGACGAAGAGATGTTTCGGTTTGAGGTCGAAGATGTGACGATCTCCTTCTCCTTTTCGGGAGTGTTTGGCGATTCCCTTCTTTTGTGCTTTGGCGTGCATCTTGCCCAACTTGGTTTTCATCTAAGGGAAAATTTAAATTTAAAGGTTTTAGATGATAAGACGAGTGGTAATAATGCTGTAACTTTTTATGGTTATAAAAATATTGGTGACTTACCGTAGCGTCCTTAATACCCATCTCATTTCGAGGCGCCTTGGACATAGATCTTGATCGAGAACGGGCCGTGGACTCGAGTCGCATACGCTTTTCAGCGGGACCTTTGGACCTCGAGCGGCTTACGGAGCGGGCAAAGTTGGTCTGTGTGCATAGATAATTAAGAATACAATTAGTTATTTAATTACGACTTAAAAATGACCAGTTTCTACTCACGTTTGGATTGTCAGTATCGATTTCGACTCCAAGTTCACTCATCTTCCTCTTCAACCCGGAAACGCTTCTTTCTCGCTTTCTACCTGCAGTATTTCGTGGAAGAGTGGGTTTGTTACTGCACTTTTTGAGATGTCGCTCAATCTACAAAATGGAAGAGACCGTTTTTATGAAAAAGTTCTAAAATCGGATAAAAATGATGTTTTATTTATATACCTTCATAATTTTCTTCTTTTCACGAATCTGTGACGCTAACTGTTTAATATTTTCACCCTCTTCATCTTCCTCCTCGTCCGTGTCGTCATAATAGCCAGCCTCCTCACGAAGCTCTTCCTCTCGCTCCAACTCTTCCAATTTCTGAGGAAAATTTTAATAGAATTTTACAATTTTATTTAACAAATTTCAGATAATGCATAATTATGCATTTAATTTAGTGCTGCTTGCTACTACTCACCTGCATGATGTCTGGATCAATAAAATCTGCGATATTCTTGCCCTCCCAAATTTCTGGGATTGCATCATACTTAATTTTATCAGGAAGATCGTAATGTTTCTTTAAATCGAGGATGTAATCGTCTCCCATTTCTAGTTCAATGTCACGCTCGAGTCGCTTCTTGGGTTGTACACCTTCAGTAAGCATTGCCTGCTTCTTCAGAATAACGGCCTCTGCAATTTCAAATTGGTTGAAAACATTAATTACAATTCTATTTTTAATGGCGTATTAATTTAAAAACCTTACCTGGGATGAAGGGTAAACGTTGCTTATCATCTCTTGGTTTCGGCACAGCTACGTGAAGACGATTAAGAAAATCGTTAACTTTCTTGGTCCGCAATTTTGCATCGACTCGGAACGAAAGCAAGCGTTCACAAGCCTGTAAAATCAAATTATTACAAAATTCAACCTTTTTCTACATAAAAATTAAGAAAAATATGAGAAAATTCTTATTTTTTACGTCACCTCCTGCTTAACATTCATAACACCGTCCTCATTCACCGTGCTCATTTCGAGTAAAAGAATGTCCGGGTCGGAAATGATGGGTTCAATGACTTCCCTCTTGGCCGCGGACAGGTCAACGTAGCGCATGATATCCGTCTTATTGAAAACAAAGATCAACGGTTTGTTGGCGAAGAGGGGCCGGATGTTGTTAAACAGACTGATCTGCTGCTCCATGCTGTACCCGCATTGTTCCGATGGGTCTGCGATGAATAAAACTGCGGCTCGCAAATGGGCAAGGGCAGTGATGGCCTGGAATTAATTAACAATTAATTAGTTGATTTCACAATATTTATTTTGTGTCGGGGGCTGGTTAATTACCTGCATTTCAATTGTGTTCCTGTCCTCGAGAGGATGATCCAAGATTCCGGGAGTGTCAACCACTTGCCATCTAAAATTAGTAGAACAGATTAGAAAAATAGGGTCTAAAAGTCAGAGTAATTAAGTAATTAACCTGAGATATTTATAATCCGTGTGTCCAATATACAACGATTTGGTTGTAAATGCGTACGGCTGGACTTCAACGTCAGCTCGAGTTATCTGGAGAGAGGAAGTTAAATTAGACACACTGTTGCTACAGATGGATAAGTTCTACGATAAGATTACACACCTTATTAACAAATGAAGACTTTCCCACATTTGGAAATCCACAGACGAGAATGGTCCTCGTGTTGGGGTCGATGCTGGGCAGACGACCTAAATGTTGGCGAACCTGTTCCAAATACTTGAGCGTGGGTTCCTGCCTCTTCATCAGGGTGGCCATTCGACCAAGTGCGGCTCGCTTAAGCTGTTTACAACGATACATGGAATCTCCATACTTTAATAGCCGGGCGTAATCTTTGGAAATACTGGAAATCAGCAGTAAAAACAATTAGAAATTGTTACAAAATTGTAATAAGACCATGACTAACTTGTCAATTAAGTGACGACATGTGTTAATTTGTCCGAGAGCCAACTTGTAATGATCTTTGTCGTAAAGAACATTCATCAAATCCGCGTAGAACGGATGGACATCCTACGAAAATGAGGAATAGTTAATTAAGTTGGCATTAAATTATTGCTATAATTCTAAATTGCATTAAATAATTTGTGGTTATTAATTACCTCCAATTTTGGAAACTCTTGAATAATTTGGGACAACCGTTCATGAAAATTTGCCTGAGTGTACTTCACTTTTCGCATATAAAATTGACGAATCCGAGTAATTTTATAGTGCTTGTGAACAATGGTAGGTGTCTTTCGCTGGGTCTTTGATAATGTGATGTCGATAAAGTCCTGAAAGCATTAAAAATTAAGGTAGTAATGTTAAAACTTTGATTTTGATGCTAATAAATTTTGACTCAAAATCAGATTCAGTTAACTTACCTTTGAGGACGGAACGACCGCAATATTCTTAAAGTTGTACTGCGACATGATGATTCCCTTTGGTTAGTAAGTTTTCCAAAACAAAATGTATTGAAAAATATGGAAATTTTCTTCAAAATTTCCTAACCAGACGGAAGCACGTGTAAAAATTCACCTCCGAAAATCTAACCTCACTCAAGAAGGAAAGCGTGCATGTGAGAATCTAAATTGAATTTCCTTCCCCGGCTCAGTCTCCCGTTGCCCCGATGGAAGAAAAGTTGTTTTGATGAGTAATATTACTTTCCTTGATTTTATATGCATTTGATTTATGATTTTTCTGTAAGTTTACGAATTATGAAATTACGAATAATATTTAGACGTAATTGTAACATTGTGATCAAAATATGATAAAAGTTGCAATAATTTTAAATGCTTCATGATGTAATAATTTTATGAAATTCTCTCATTTGCGTGGCTTGTTTTAGTCAGGGCTGGTCATCTATTTGTTATATCATACTCTGTGTCTATTTGTCACACTATAATACTAGTTTCAAACTAATTATCTAATATCATTTAATTATTTGGTTATCAAGATTATAGTTATACAATGAACAGGGTAATTAAATGTGGATTTAGGTTGCTTCAAAATTATATAAAATTTGGTATAAATTGTAAAAATGTATATTTACATCTCATTCTAAACATATTGTGCAAATTATGATGAGCTAAATTACATTACATGATACTAAATTACTAAATTAAAAAAAGATGGACACAACCTAATCAATAATGTTTTAATATAAAGAATTGTAAAATTGAATTACGGCGTCAAGTTGGACAAAGTTATGAATTTCAGACAACTTGCAGCCATCTTTGTGATTATAATTTACATGCCGAGCAAATAGTGCATAATATAATTATGCACGTACATAAATAAATGTAATGGCATGGGCATAAGTGCAACTCACTAATCAAGAAATACAAGAATTCTATGCCATATGCCATGTCTCACAAAATCAAAGCTCTTGTCAAATTAAACTTCGTCCTCAAGTCAGAAAAATAGTGAGGAAAAATTGCACACAAATAAAGCCCACTCCCATTTCACAAACGATTAGTACCTTTAATCTTTCCAAGGTAAACGAGAAACCAAACCAGGCTTTAAATCATTAAATCTTATTTTTCTCCGGCAAAGATCATAAAATAAAATACTTGCCTAAATATGATCTCTGGAGTGGATTGGAAGTGACAAACTTGTTTCCTTGGAACAAATCTACATAAGTTCAGTCAGCCAAAGTCAGTCAGTAATTGGGCAAACAATAAAAGATAATGCTTTGCTTGTTGCATGTCTTTATGATAATGAGATGCTCGATCATTACCCAATTTTTAAATGGGCAGGCATCTCGCATCACTTTCTTGGCATGTAGATGCTTGCATTCATTCATTAGTTGTCAACAATTGTGGTAGTTCTTGTTGACTATACAGAAGGCAAAACGTTTAGTCGTGGTCTGATGAGTAGTCGAAGATCATTTTCGACCACGGGTTTAAATTGGCACGTGCTAAAATTGGGAATATTTGCAAAATTGCGACATTCCTTTGATGGCGAAGGAATCTCTTCATAAATTTGCAGGAATGGGTCAAGATTCGCAAATATATTATTTGACCGCATTTCTCGCCACGGCGCTCCTCGTGGGAATTGGGGCGTGGTTGTTCACTTCTATGAAAAAGAAGAAATCCACTTCGACCCAAAATACGAAAGTACGCCCGGAAAAGTGGTGTCTCGTTGGGAAAGTGGCAAAATTGATAGTTTATCCGATCAAGTCCTGCCAAGGGATTGTTGTTGAAGAAGCAGCAGTGACAAGGCTGGGGTTAAAACGTAACTAATTTTTGGATTATGTTTATACATGCAAAATTTTTTGGTAATCGTGACGGAATTTAGGAGGATTGTAAAATTGAAAATTTTTGTAAAATTATAAAGTTTACAATGATCGTAATCTATAAACTTGAGGTTGGTCGTGCGTACCATTTAGCGTCTGTCATTTACACTTATGGATGCAAATCATGAGTGTAAATCATTTTTGTAACCCAGTAAAATCCACAAGTTTTAGACAGAAATATGCAAAAACTAGGAAGATAAGTCAAATTTATAAGTATAGGTGTCTTCTCCAGGTTTTAGCAGTTTAGAAAAATTTCTAATGTACAGTAACTGTACATTAGAAACATTTCTGTTTTGTTCTGTTCAACAGTTTTGTTATTGTTGGGTTACAAACATTGAATTTGCTCTGTATTTGACAAAGTTGGACGTCTTTACGCGTTTTTTGTAAATCATGGAAAGACAAATTACACTTTAGGTTTGTCCCTAAATTCCTATTTATTTCGTTGGACGTTTTTCAAAATATTTTGAAGAATTTGCAAACATCCGAGTGAATTCCCACAATTAATATGCATAATTGCACATTTTGCAATTTTAACATTTGCACGGGTTTTGCCAAGTTAGACGTCGTTACGCGTTTTTGTGTATCTTGCAACAATGTAAATTATATATTCAGGTTTAGCTATCATTTTGTACAGTTGTTGCAAAATATATTTTTTGCAAAACTCGCACAATTTATAAACATCCACAGCTCTTACAAATTTAGAAATTTAAATTTATTTTATTTTTACATAATTACGCAGTTCGTGACCACAACATTCGCGATCGCGACTTTATGATTGTGGATAAAAAGGGAAAATCCATCACGCTTGATGTCATGCCGGCCATGTCCTTCATAACTTTGGAACCTTCGCTCGAAAAAAAGAATCACCTCGTGATGAGTGCGCCTGGCATGGATTCGATCGTATTCACTTATCCAGATGAGGACAAATCAGAAGAAAAAATTTGCCGGTAAAGAAAAGTGTCATCTTTGCAAAAATCATGCTTTTTAATTAGTTAGAAATTCACTCGGATATTTGTAAACTTGGCAAAATTTAAAAGTTTTATCAAGTTTACCAAATTTTATAAAAATTAGTAAAATTATTTTGCACATTTTTATAAAAGAATTAAAGTGACGGATTTAACCAGTGTTTACAATAGATTTGTGAATTAATGAGGCAATTCACGCAGTCATTAGTAAATTTATAAATTCTGTAAACTTTGTAAAATAATCTTACAAATTTCCACAAAATAAAGCACCGCGTGAATTGCCTCAAAGTTTTTTGTGAAAACATTTACGAATTTTTTTTACTGAGTTACAAACATTTGAGTGAACTAGAGCCATATTATGTGATGAAGTTTTTGTAATCCATAAATTTAGCTCACATTATCTTTCTATGAATTTCGGATATGAAATTTAGAAAAAATCTCTTCCGACATCGAGCTAACACATTTTTCTTCCTAAATTGCAAACACGTTTATTTACAAAATTACACAGTTTACAAATATGTATCCGAGTAAATTTCTTCCCGATTTTTGAACAGGGTGATGCACGACAAGAATGTAAAAGCGTTAGACTGCGGAGACCAAGTTGCCGAATGGATTCAAACATTTCTCGGGAAGGAAGAACTCCGTTTGTTTTATCATCACGTTCCCGAAACGCAGAGAACTTTCGAACCCTACATGTTCGAGTGTCCCCTCTATGAAAAGACAGATATGGTAAAATAAATGTCAATTTTGCATAAAGTTATTGTCACAAAATAATTATTCGTATACATGAAATTGATGATTTATCCAAAAACTGAAAACTTTTGATGGTCACATTCAGTTTTGTAATTTTACAAATTTTGCCCAGAAATGCGGACTTAATTACTTACGATTGAGATTTGAGAATCAAAACCGGAATATCTGATATAAGTTGAAATTAATAATACTTTAAAATAAATTCGTAACTGGCTCCGAACTAATCCTAAATACAAATTCGCCTGATTTTGCGATGTAAAAAGAATGTTCCAGTGTCCTCTCTACGAAAAAAACCGACATGGTAAAATATAGGGTCATAAGTATTTAACTGATCATAATTTAATACATTTTGTGGTCATAATTAATATTTTTCATTAAATCCATACTTCCTCTCATCACAATGAAATTCAAGTTTACAGAGAAAAAATCTTGTCTTAAGAGAAAACCAAGCTTGGTCGGCAAGTAAAAAAGGCATTTGTGGTTGGCTAAGAATTAATAAAATTGGAGAATTTTTTTTAATCTAAAATTTTAAAGCGATCTTAACGTGTTCTTATCGCTTATGGCAAACTCGAGTACTTACAACTTATGGACAACGAAATATTTACTTTATTAAGGAGTAAAAAGAAGTATTTCTATTTAAAAAAACGCTTATTATGGTCGGGAGTAGTATTAAATTATGATTAGTTACATACTCCACCAAAATATAGTCAATTTTATGTAAAATAATTATTCGTGTAAAATCGCTGCAAATTTATGATTTATGCAAAAAAATTAGAACGTTTGATGGTCACATGCAGTTTTGTAAAGTTTGTAATAATTTTACAAATTTGTGTCCAGAACTGTTGACGTAAATCACCATTTAGACAGACATGCAAGAAGATCTGCCATGCATGTTAAAATCAGTAATATTTTCAAATAAATTCAGAACTAACCCTAAAATTTTTAAAATGCAAGATTCGCTCAATTTTGGGCAAGAAATACTTATTAATAAATAATATTGTCTTCTTCCTCTTATCTTATCCATGGGTTATCTTACTTTTAGGGCGCTTTCCAAAACGAGACGAGTTACCTGATCGTAGGTCAAGAGTCGATTGACGAGCTGAATGCGAGATTACCAGAGAAGAAATCGTCCTGGAGGAATTGGAGGCCAACGATATTAATTGATAACGTGCTAGAACCATTTGCAGGTAAGGATTAAGGATAAGGTTGACAGGTGTAAATATGTGGGATAAGGACTTATCGTGTCTCTCTATTTTCAGAGATTAACTGGTCATTTGTCAAGATCGGGGGCGAAAATGTGATCCTTAAGGCGGCAATACCATGTGCTAGGTACTTAATAAAGGAATACATGACTCACAACGGATGGAGGTCTCCGAGCGCATGCTTTCCGATTTTGACCAAATTAGTGTCCATCGATCGATCACAAATTTAAGTAATATGAAATTTGCAAAAGATACGATCTCCAAATGCGCATGTTTGGCAGAGCTATTGGCATAGACGAAGAGAAAACGTGCAGTAAATTTAGCAATTAACTTTACGCATGTGTTCTCCTCTTTGGATGCAAATATCTCTTACAAACAACCTTAGCATTAGCAAATTGCGTCTTTTGCAAATTTCATACTAATTAAATTTGTGATTGATAGATACCAGTTTAATCAAAATCTGAGAGTATACTCTGGGAGACCTCCATTGTCAGATTTCAAAAATTTCATTCTTTTGTAGTATAAATGTGGGCCTGGACAAAAATTGTCTCTGATGACATTAATTATGTCATGCACACAATTACAGCAGCGGTTTGGTAATCATACAATATTTACAGGTGCGGATTGACTACGGTGGATCAGGACACAGGAACTCTCCCGAAGGATGGCGAGCCTTTAAAAACATTGCGACAAATGAACAAAACGGACGTAATTGTTGACCGGAAAATGGCCGAGGTGGTCAAAAATAGGGGCATTATGGGGATTCGGATGGGCCTTTATGTTCCGGCTGGAGCTGAGGGTTCACTGATTAAAGTTGGGGATCCTATTTATGCAGCGTTGCTGTAAATTTAATTTACTAAAAATATGATAAATTTGTATCGTCATTATGAAATTTTAAGTGACTGTCCGTAACTTTTTTTGTTTAGACTTCACTATATCTTATTGATTACAAACTCAATAATTTTTACTCCAATTAATTTTTTTGGACGTCGATAATACTCATAATTTTAAATAAATTGTAAACCAAACTAATGGGGAGGACGGAATTGAGAAAAATTTAAAATTTCACTAATATTTTCATGCAACATATGCAAATAGATATTTAATAAAACTACAAATTATTTAGAAAAATTCACTGCCCTGTCATTATTTAGATTTACACTTTGAAAATCAAAGTTGCAGTTCAAAAATCATACAAATTCCACATTTCCAAATCGTTTACATATTTATGGGAATAGATAAAATATATATATTTTATGAGCACATTTCTTTAGAACTCGGCATATTGGTTTCACAGAACCCTTATTTCTTACCTGCTGTAAAATGCTTGTTGCATTTATTACCAGCAAATGAAGGGTTAAATGGTACATACATACGTATTACTAAATATTTATATATACATAACCCATTAAGCAAGGGTTAAAGAATGCACGTACTTACATTACATAGAATCATATAGTACTTTTTAGACCAGCTTTAGCCTTCGTTTCGAACTCGACGGACATTAGAATAATTTTCTCCATCAATAATTCTACTCAAAATGTGTTTCAATAATACAAAAAATGACTTGTTTGAGAGAAAGGTAGTAAATTTGTATAATTAACAATTATCTGCATATATACATAATTTCCATTAACATATCTACTTTGATTATCTGATAACCGAAACCTTTCCTAAACTTGTGTTGCTCATTTGGTGTTCTTTACTCAATCCATTACGACATATTTTGTTTCTGTCTCCCTAAATTTAAAACTTTAAACAGGGGCGAATATTGTTTTCGATCGTCAATATTGAAAGACGTAAGGACAGTTTCAATTGCTAAACATAATATTTTTATGTGGTAATTAAAGAATACTTTAAATTACACTTTAGCCTCAAGAGTGTCGGAAACAATGTTAAGATTTGCAGCCCAAACATTTTTCCAAGCTCAACTGGAATTCCAGGAAATTGAAAAGAATCCGGCGCACCAAGGTGATTAATATTGGGCTGCAATTTTGAAACAAGTGCTTTGTGTATGTACATTACATGACCAGAACACTTCTTGAAACATTATATTTTTGTACAGATTATAATTTAAGGAGAGACGCTATGCACGAATTCGAAGTCCCATTTTGCAGGCAGAAAGATAGATTTTATGTCGCATATGAAAGATGTCATCCTGATGCAACACGTGAAGAGATTCATGCCGAGATTAATCGGATCTGCGACGAAGTTAAAAATAGTTTAAATTAAGACGAGGAGAATGTTAAACGGACGGCGAATATACATATGCATTATGTTTATTTAAAAGTAAGGAATAATTGTCTGTGTAATGTATCCAGACTCATGATTGTTTGAAAAAAATTAATAATTTCAAATTTAATTCTTAAAATTTGTGTTCTTCCAACGTCAATAATACTTATGATATTATGTTTCGATGCAAAAAGTTGCAAAAACCTTTCTACTAAAACCAGTGTTTCTTTTTGTGTTATTTTTATGCATGCATAGTGCATAAAAATGCACAAAAATGCATAAAAACGCATAATAATAACTGAAATGCAATTTATGCAGGGAATTTCATATTTTCAAGGAATTTTATACTTTCCTATCCGGTGGAATGGGGATAAGATTAAGTTACCTGAACCTCTATACCTTACCACCCTACTAGCTAGCCAGAGTTCTAGCAAAACTTATCCTACCATGGTATTTGGAATTTAGTACACATTTCGAAATACACGGAATTATTATTCGGCAAGAAAATTTGAAACAAATGACAAGTATTTGTTTTGTTATAAAATACAGGCCCGTATTCAGCCGTTCATATGTGTAAAAATCGTTGTGTTCATTGATTTTTATTTTCAAAACTTTCATTTTTGGTAGTGAAAAATGAAAAAAATTTTTAGACTAAAACACCAGAATAATGAGGAAAATATCTAAATTAATCGAATATTTACAAAAATTGCATTATTCCAATATTATTTGCATGTAAATTATTTTCGTGCATTTTTGTGCATTTTCATGCACTTTTTCGGATTTTTAGTGGGTGTTATTAAACGTTTAAAAACATTTTCGTGCACTAATTTCGTGCAGGTGTTATTTAACAGCAGAAACACTGACTAAAACTAAAATAATCAATTGCGACGATAAGATATTTAATAAAGTATGATCTTGTGATATTTGCGTGAGACATTTTATATGAAACATACCCGACAAGCACTGCATTTTATCTTTTTCGATGTCGATAATGCTAATAAATTTAAATAATTGCAAATCAAAATTTAGAAAATTCACCAACGAGGTGGGTATGTAGAAAAATTTCATGTAACTATTTCCATGCAGCATGTGCACATACGTAATAAAACTATAGTTAATTTGATTGGAGAAATTCCCTTGAAGGCAAAAACACATTAATCAATAGTATCATTTGTTATACTTAACATTTTATTTTATTCTAGCGACGTCAAATACACCCAAAATTCTGCAAAAATTCCTCTTACAAACTCGAGTTTGAAACAAATCTTGCAAAAAGCTGAAAATGCAATAATAACAACATTTCATGCAAAATATGCGTAACGATGCATAATAAAATTTTAATTTCTATCTGATTCTCCTCCTAATTTATTATTTGTACCGCATTATCAGATTTAGTCAAAACAAAATTCATCTACCAACATTCCAAATTTCCGAGACCGATTTTCGAAAATTTTTATGGAAACATATTTCTTACAAAGCTCTTCTCAATATGTACATCCATCCGCTAGCGCCCCTACACATTTCTCCCCACAACTTCCACCACCTCGACTTTAATCGATCTCTCTGCTTTAATACCAAAATCCCGTTGGAAATGCAACTCTTAACCCTTTTTTTGTATCCTTCATCTCGTCCAAGTTGGCCGTTTCGCGTCTCTTAAAAATCCTAAGGTTTGTTGGCGCGATGATATGAAGAACCTCGCATTTTTTACAAAATGGTTACCATCCCTGAAAAAGGGTGCCCAGGTTTGGTGGCTGCTAAGCAAAACAAAGGCTAATGTTAAGAACTCTTGTTGTCAATTTTGGTCTCACTTTGAGTTTTTTAGTTTCAGTTTGTCAGTCGAAGTTGGCCGAGCCACACTGAATGAAATGTTGCTGGTGGTAAATAAACGCTCTGCTGTTGGGTTGTAAATGTAAATAACAGCCTGGTTTTTGGTGTGTGGACGGCTGACGAAAAATAATAAATAAATTTTTGGAGTATTGGAATTTTTTGGATAAGATTTCCTAAATTTTGTTTTGGATGGGGAGAAAGAAAGTGCAGTTTTTCGTGGTGGATGGGATGGAGTGAAGAAGAGAATTTGGTGAAAACGGATTTTGTTTTTCGTGACCTGATTGGATTTTTGTATGGTGGTTTTAACTAACAATTAAAAAAGTGTGGATTGGTTATTTATCGGGAAGATTTGATGAGAAGTTGATAAGTTTTAATGGTGAAGTTAGAATTTAGGGGCGAGTGTATTTTAATTAAACGTTAAAAAATCAAGGATTAAATAATATGAAAGACAACTACGGATGATAAACTGTAATATTTTGTGTAACGTGGACCGGGGAAAAGTGGAAATTGCGAAGGTTTGAAGCCATTTACTTATTTTATTAAATAATATAATTTCAAAAAAATGTTAGATGTGAACCCAATCGCCTCTCAATTTGGTCATTTCATTGAATTGTTATTAAATTATTACATAAATCCAATAAATTGTGACTCACTCTTTATTTTAATTTAATTTTAATTGATCATGTTAAACATGGCATAAAATTACGGTTTTAAATGGAGCTCCCTTTTTTGTCCGTTTATCATTTTTTGTCTGGAAGATACTGAAATTTTGAACATTTTACTTATAATTTCTATATCATTTATAGTACTATCTACTTAAATAGTAAATACAAACTCCCCACTTTTTAGATTTAGATGAGGGCGGAAATGAAACGAAATCCGGAAGGTTATCATTACATTATTATATTAATTATTATTATTATTAATATACATACATCCATAAAGCTCGCCAATTTTGGGTGCGTTTAGGTAAACGTAGGTAAATTTTTTTGTTCCGCTGTCTATGACGTGTGCATATTATCTTTTTTTTACATTGTTTCCTTGCTGGTCTTTGGCATTGTGTTTTTGTGATCACATTAACCTCGCCGAGTGCGATGATCGTGGATAATAATACGAGAGTCAGATTTACGTATTTAGTTGGTGTATTTTTTTGATACGTTATACGATACGATGTGTAATTTAGTGGCATCAAGTGGTATGTAAATAATCTGTCTGTGTGTCTATCTTTTTGCACATTTAGTCATGAATTCGAACGGATGTGCACAAATAAAATTGTCCATTATTCGCGATTCACCATTAAAAAAATCAGTGTATTGTTGATTGTTGCTATTTTAGGGATACATACAGAAACGTATTCCTCCTCCTGCAGAGATAAATTGAATGCATGTGCATGTGCTTAAATAAAATGCTACTTAACTGTTCAATTTTCAAGCAGCAGCACAAACTTGGCAAGCCAAACCACCACCAAATAAATGATAAAACTGTAGTTTCTGCTTGCATGTTTTATCTACGTACGAAGGGCGATGAATCAGCGGTTTGTTGCATTATTAAACAATGCTAGAAACGAATAAATAACAAATTGGCAGACTGCAAATATTTCGTGTGAGTCATATCAGCAAAATATTTGCATTTTTGCGTGTGCAAGAAAGAAAATAATGTTATATAAGTAAAGTAAAGGAAATAAAATAAATCGCATTATAGGATTATTTACGGTATAGAATTGCAAATGGAAAAAAATCTAGTCCATGCCATCAACCTTATTTTTAGTCACACTCAGAAATTATTTGTTATTAAATATGAAATGATAAACGACCGGATTCACGTCCAATTTTGGAAATTATTATTCGAAAAATATCTCAGAGAGGGAGAAATAAATCAGATTTTCTTCTCTAATAATAATTGATTATCGCACCCACACGGCCACACATCAATTCGTTCTCATCTTGAATCTTGAAGGATGAGAATCAGAATGAGAAGAGAACCGAGTGATTTATCAATTTCTTTCTTTCGGTGAATTGAACTTCCGTTCTAAATATATAGATTTTCTGGCAAAAAGTGGCCATTTATCGGGTCTATTATTACACGTAAACAGGACTCGATAAGGTATTTACTTACCTGTCTCGGGCGGTTTGGTCAATCATTTTTATTGGCTTTTATTGGTCGTTAGTCTCGTTTTATGGAGTTCAGTCCATCGTTAGCGGATCGAAGTGATATCTTTTATTTATTTTGGTGTTTATTTCTATCATTTTTTTGCTTCTTTGTGGGAAAGAAAGTGAAATAACTTCACGTCTGGAAATGGAAACTGATACACAAAATGTGATGATAAATGGATTCGATTCGTCGTCCGAGGGTGAATGAAGTTGTAAATAAATAAATGGGAGAAAATGAGTCATTTTCGTTTTCAAAAATTTATTTAATGGGGGTACGTAACGGGACCATAAATCAGTCTAAAATGTCAGGGTAAATATACCATTTGACGTTGACGATGTACGTACAACATTAAATTTTTCCCTTTTAACTATGCCGCATGTCAGTCAAAAGTACGACAACGACGAGTTTTGTGATGTGAGGTTAAATTAAAAGTCAGCCGACTTTATATAAGTAATCTTTCGTTTAATTGGGATACATAACCCGAGTCGACAAACGATTGAGTCACGAGCATGTCGTTAAGTGATGATAAGAGACTAACTTTTCTGTGTTTACTTTACTTTTCAGATGTCAAGCACAAATATGTACAAAATTTGAAGAAGACCATCATCATCCTTAGTCACCCATCAGTCCAGTCCAGTCCACATTTCAGAATTGGGACGAGACGATAAGATAACAACAAAAATCAAACACCAGGAAGTAGCTTTTTTGGAGAGAAAAGTAAATAAAAATGGTTTTATGGTAGTGGTGAAACACTGAACTGGAAGTCTGTCGTATATATTTTGTGGTTATCTGACCTTACGTTTTGCCAAGTAAATACCAAGTAAATTTTGTCGCCAGAATATTCTCTGCGTAGTTTGTTAGCTTAAAGGAGTCAATTTAGCCAATAGTTGTATCGAGTTAATTAGCGTTATTAGTATTTATTGATTACATTACGCATACATACTCTTCTCTCAGTGTGTGTCTGTTCTTATCATCGCATTATTGTTCATGTCGTCGTCGTCCTCGTCGTCGTGTCCTCAATAGTCGCACGTAACACGTAACGTGAGGCCCATCAATGTCTAGAAATACCAAGAAAATTGGAATCTGAGAAGAAAATTGATTACTTTTCCTGCTGGATGTGGATGGATGGATGTGCGTGGCTTGGCTGGCTATTTGGCGTGTGTGTGTGTGGCAGGGTTATTTACTTACTTACTTTTTCCTAGTAAGTGGTCCCGTCTCGTGTAAAAGACAGCAGTGGTGAAAGTTCAGGAGAGAAAGTGCTCCATTTCTTCACGAGGACGAATATTCAGTAGCAGAAAACGGTGTGTGTGCTTAACACGTAGACAAACTTAAGTGAAAATCTACTCGTGTAATATTATTGATCTCAACTAGTGTAAAAGATCTATCTCGTTCTCGACTATGGGATTATTATCGACAGAGTATTGATTCTTCTTTGGGGGGAAAGATTTTTGGGAAAAAATAAAGTGAAGTGACCAAATTTAAGACGGATTGATCTACCTACACCAAGAACAATAAAAAAGAAAGAACAATGTTCAAGAACAAGAAAGGGGTCCTCTTCGTGCGACTTCTGCTCGTATTTTTCCCCTGCATTGAAGGAGGTAAGTAAAAAAATAAAATTTCCACAAAATTACTGCTTGGTCCCAGAAACTTTTCCTTTCATCAAGTACCAAACTTATGTATGATTAGAGTTGATGTTCTCTCATCGAGTTGGATGGAGGAGGAGATCGAGAGACGAAAAAAAGTCTTGGAGAGAGAGAGATTATGGAAGATTATTATGTGTCATGTTCCTTAATACGAGTCTACTTTTCTCTCTGCAAAGCTAAAAGGGAAGGATAAGCCAGATTATTTGGAAAGATGAGAGAGAGAGGCATGTTATTTATCGAGGGCTTGATTTGATACGAGGTGGCGACGTGGAGATGTAGTTTTTTTGGTATATTTACAATTTGCGAGGAAGAAATTGTAGGCTGTTGGTCTCTGAAGGGCTGTGCGTAAAGGTTGAGGTATCTAAAAAAGAAAAATTGGCAATTTTTTTTGCGCCCGAAGAAATTTTTGCACACCTTTTTTTGCGACGAGAAATATTTCTGCACGGAAGGCTCGAAGGGAGGGGCTCCATGTATAGATTGGCAATTTTTTCTGGGGGCGAAATCTCCGCCAAATTTGACGCCATCCTTTCCGCTCGGCCTGTCCGAAAGTGAGATCTAATTTCCAGAGCAGATTTGGTATCAGTCTTTTGGCCCTTCAGAGATACTCAAGTGGAGTGAAAGAGGAAGGGTTTAGTTTAGCGGAAGGAATTAAGCCGAGCGATGGGAGGATCGCATCGACGAGAGGATGAGATTACACGAAGCAAGCAGTTAGAGCCAGAGGAAGACGAAAATATGGCACAAATCTCAATCTCATCTCGTCTTCCTTGGTGGTTTGGTTTGGTTGGTTAGTGGGGGTTGATTATATTACTTTATTTATTCTCAGCCTCCTCCTGTTCGTAATGATGGAACATCATCTCCTCCTTGACTTTCTGGTGGAGAGAGAGTTGTCATGTTAATAATTTTCCTAAGATGGTATTTTGGATATGTCTGTGCTAACGGGTAGAAAAAAAGTTTGGCCTTTTACTAGGAACAAATTTTAGGAAAATCGTATGAACTTTTTTTCGTGTTAGAAAAGTTTGTGTAAATTTTCAGCTTGAAGGAACGGATAAATATCATCTTGGCTGGTTGCATGGTTGTGCTTATTTTTTGGCTCGAACCGTGTGAATCGGGATGCGGATTGAGATGGATGGATGACATTTTAAATCAGTCATCTCGTTACGTTGGTTTTACATGACTTAACTTTCATATTTTTAAGGGGAAAAAAGTTTGAAAATTGAGATCGTTCTCTTTTAAATGTTACGTTTACGTGGTTCACTCACATTTATGTAGCAAATATTTTATTCGAGGCATGCAGGAATAGTGTAACGCATGAACAGGCCTGGTTTGAATTTGAACAGAGTTTAGTTTTGTGTCGCTGTTTTTTTACGACATAAAAATTAGTAAGGAGAACGAGGCGACAGTTTTTTGTGTCTAGTTGTTACTTTTATGGGAGGGAAAGTGATTATGTAATTTTTTATGGAAAGTTTGCGGTGGCTGTTTTTATTATGTAGGGCTATTTATTTTCTGCGTGTGTCGTTATTGAGGGTACGGATCTTTTGTTTTTGCAGAATTTATTGCAGATTTTTGTATGCAAAAAGTAAACACTTAATTTTTCGTGTAATTTTTCGTATTCCAAAGAACCTATTTTTTATTGGTTGGGAAAATATTTGAATTTTTCGAGAATGACGTCGAGCCTATTCAGAAATATAATTTTTTATGAAAAGTTTGCGGTGGTAGAGAACACTCACTACCGCTGTTTTTATTGTGTAGAAAACTATATATTCCGGGCGTGTCATGTATTGAGGGTAGGATTTAATACGGATTTTTTCTGCATAATTTATTTTAAATTTTTGTATGCAAAAATTCTATGCAAAAAGTAAATATTGCGTTATGTTTCTCACTCAAGCTGCAACCTACAACCTAACTTTTTTTATTTAGTGAGAAAATATTTGATTTTTTCGGGAATGACGTCGTACCTTTTCAGTTAATTAATAGAAATGTAATTTTTTATGAAAAGTTTGCGGTGGTAGAGAACACTACCGCTGATTTTATCATGTAGAAATATTTATTCTGTGTGTATCATGTATTGAGGGTAGAATTTTTTACATAATATATTGCAAAGTTATCGCAAAAATTGTATTAAAAAGCAAATACAGCGTAACCTTTTCTATATTCCCAACAATGAGCGGAGAAACCTAACTTTTATAAGTTATACGAAAATATTTCCATTTCTTGGCAATGACGTTTAACCTTTTCAGTAAATTAATAGAAATAAATTTAAATATGTATCATGTACTGATAAAATTTTATTACGAAAATTTGAAAAGATGATTTTTCCTTTGTTTGTTATTTAATGTGTTCCAAGAAATATTTTTCAGGTACTTCTTGTGACCAAAACTTGTTCTTCTTTTCGTTCCAAATTAATACTACTACGTATCATCGGCATGTAGAAGAAACAACGTAATTAATTTAAGACTACCTACTCCCTCAAGAGAAGAAAAGAATGCGATAAAAAGTCTCATGCAGGCAAACCCGGTGAGGATGAGTCAGCCAAAATTGTGAAATTCCCCGAATTTTAAATGATTTTTTTTTCTCACTGGACGTATTACAAAAGAAGTAAAATTGCATGCATTTCACGATTACATGGTTGATTGTACGTCTGGATGGATATAGTTGTCCTTAAAGAAGATAATGGTCGTTTATTCGTGTTGATGACCCATTTGAATGCCCTTCACGAATATAATTCGTACAAAAATAGCGCATGTATGTAAACGATGGCGCTGGATAAAGTCTAATTAAATTTCGCCCTCTCACTTTAAACCTTAATGAAGTGTGCTTTGTATTCGTAACAGGATGCAGGTTACGCAATAAGGGAGTGAGGGTGAGAGGGGAAAAGTATGGTAGGGGACACTCTAAATGATTCAGTAAAGTTGTTACCAAGTGTTTGGTAGCTGAGTTTTTACCGATTTGGTAACACGGTATGGTGACATGTTTTAATTTTGTGTAGATGAGTGCTACCGTTTGGTGACGATTTTACTTAGACGGGTGTTGAGCATGATCTGTTACCAAAGTGGTTGTAATTTTTACCAGAAATGCGTTACCAGTATTACCAAATTTGTTACCAACCACTATTACCAAACTTCCAAATCTATTTTACCACTATTACCAAGCTACCAAATCTGTTCCCACTATTACCAAATTACCAACTAAGGATAAGTTCCCACTCCTACTTTCTACTTTCCAAATAAATTTGTTACGAAATTATCACCCGAGAATTATAGTTTGTCACGAAACCTGTTACATAATTTCCTGGAAACTTACATTTACTAAATACCACCCCGGTAAAAAATTATTACCACATAATTATTTAGAGTGTATTTTCCCTGATGTATTGATCCTGCCTGCATTATTTCCTCAGTTATTTACACAGTCACAAACCGAGTCGTATTTAGATACCATACACGAACAACTCTCCTTGCGTAATAATAGCGTGAATTGAACTGCAATTAAAGTAGTTTGGCTGAATTGGCATGCATAATACTTTGTTTCTTTCTGGGTAACAAAACAACGCATTTGACCAGTTTAATTATGTAGAGTAGTAGAGATAGCAGGATGCATGATGATGTCGACGACGGTTTTGATGGCCAAACTGGTTTCCACATTGTTTTGAATGGTTACATACATATGTATGTATTCGCTACATAACAGAGTAATATCGCAAGAAGGGTGACATAATAAATAGAGAAGAAGAATACATACATAGACAAATTTGGGTGGTATTAATGCATGCGCAGAAAATACGATTTTTTGCAATATTTTTGCAAAGTTATTAGGTCATTATTTTCTTAACTTGGTTTACTTCACCCCGTTCAAAAATAAGATCAATTCACTCGGGTGTTTGTAAATTATGATAGTTTTATGTGTAAAATTGCGTTTGAAATTTAAGAAATGAAAAATGTGTTGACTTGATGCCGAAAGTGATTTTTTCGATAAATTTATATTCAAAATTCGTAAAAAGATTTTGTTAAAATTGTCTGTCTTTCTGCAATCAGCAACAAAAATAAATTGGGCGTAAACAGCGCAATTAAATTTCAGAGAAGAAAATGCACAATTTCCTACAAAATGCTATGAATTTTATGTATTTGTAAACTGTGTAAAGTTTGCAAAATTTGCAAAATTTGTACCCGCCATCCATCTCTTTACGATACATTTTTAACTTGATTTACGCTCCGTATTCCTTATAAATTTCTGATCTCTACTATATTTTTTCCTGGAAATTTCATCCTTTTTCTTTCCTGATACCACAATTGCATATCATTTCACTACTTTATTTCCCTCCCTCTCTATCTGACTTTTGACGAACTGAACGAAACATCGCACACACATTTTTACAGGAAAAGAAAAGCCTTCCTACGTAATCACGTACTTTACTTTTATTCCTCAACAACGAGATGATTGCTCTTCGTTGTTAAATATATGGTCGGCAGGGCAGACTAACGAGAGAGAAGTGATGGCATTGCTCTCTAAAAAAAATTGCACTTTACATTACTCGCTAAATAAAGTAAGTTGCAAGTTGTACATACATAATAGTCTGGTCTGGTCGAAATATTAGCATGTACGTATTCTGTATTACGAGGTAGCATAAAATTCGCCTCGGTTAAACTTCGTCTCTAGGGACGAGAACTAGCCAGACTTTGTAAAATAAAATATCATTGTGCAGATTTTTTTTCTTCAACTAAATTGCTCTCAAAGTCACTTTAGTTTTGCGGTGGTTTGGTTGCTCCTTCTTTCGTTCGAAGGTGAGTCAACTGAAGAAAATTGCCTTGCAAATGCAATGCAACCTTTATACATATTTAGCACATAAATTGGCATGCATGCCCCAAGTTTTAAAAAAAGTATGGTATTTTTAGCAATTTTCGCGATTATTATTTATTAGTGGTTGGTCGATCGTCGTTCAGAAGGAAGCAGTTTTTCGT